AAATCCTTTATAAACTTCAAATTATCGTATTCCATCACATCAGTAATTACTGAGGCACTTGATCAGGTATGCAACTAAATTTATAGAGAAAGAGATAACGATACAATTGTAACTGCTGTCAATTCCCAGTTTAATCATAGAAATAACTCCATAGCCACAGAAGGGAAAAGGATAACAATTTAACACTGACGTATTGCCAACACCCACGTATGATTATGACAACAAACACCTAACGTGTACTGATCCAGGGCAATGCCACCAAGATAAAACTGCGAGATTCCTGTTTTGACAATGACGGAGTCTTTGCCCCTTTTAAAATTCCATTTTACTTGACAATTCCTAAAAGTAAACAGACATATAAAAGAAACATTTCAATGATTTGGGTACCAATGTCAATGTTATTGCTTGATATAAGCAACAAATAAAGTAATTAAAAAAATTGGCTTCTAATCATTTTTGTCTCACAATCGGAATGTACGGAAGAATGTAAAAGGCTATACAATAGCTAATAAATCCTTCGATAATGAGGCAAAGTTGACAGTACAAATTTAAAATTACACTCATGAAGAATTTACAAACGACATTCCAGTTATGTGACCTATCACATCATTAAAAACTTTCATATTCCCTTCTGCCCATAAGGGGTCAGCAGTGGCCGCGCGGTCTGAGGCGTGGGCCTTGTGCCGTTTGGTCGCTGGGACCGTGGGTTCGAATCCCACTCACGCCATGGATGTTTGTTGTGCTGTCCTGTGTACAGGTAGAGGCCTTGCGACGGGCCGATCCCTCGTCCAAGGAGTCCTACCGAATGTCTACAGATCGAGCCAACGAAAAGTTGGGACCCGCAGTGCTCAGGCACTTGAAGAACGGGTCGTTCCCAGTATCCCAGTTCTGTCTATAAACCTAAAGATTAAAATATTAAGAAGTAAAATTGTGTCGTTTGGCGTGCAACTTATAATTTCGCCTTCATTTAAGAATACAGATTTATGAACACAACATCAAGTGATACAGAATGCAGCATGACGTACTGTATCAGATTTGTTTAAATTCCAAAGTTCATCGGCCATTTTATAGTATATTTCGATATATTTTCATATAAAAATGCCGAGACTTCAGTTCCATCACGCATGTCCGTATATAAAATGTTAACATTTGCTAATGGATTAGCTTCCTCCCTCCATCACCTCCCTCGTGGCTGGATCGAACACGCAATATTTCATGATCTGAAGCCAGTACAATAAAATTACTGTCGCAGACACTCGTCCGAGATAACAGCATCTCATTCAATCAATTCGTTTACTTTTCAAAATGAATAATACAATATATGTGTCAAATATGAATTGTTTATATAGGTATTATCCGTATTCCACAGATGTCTGCGAAATATTCCTTCAATATGCGTTTAAGTGCAAATTCAAATTCATCAAATATTTTTGTAGTTCATTTAGCTACACTGACAAAAACTCACATTATGTGGAGTCGAATGATGAATGAATAATGATCAAAGAATTGTAAATTTTATGGAAAAACGCGGTGATGGCTACATGAAGGTACTACCCCGGAATGTGCCGAAGACCAGATCAAAAACGCCGGTCGCCTGGTCGAAGTTTGAACCCAGAAGCTTCCGAACACCAAGCAGGTACCGGTAAAAGTTATTTTCCGTGCAGCCCTAAAAGACAGGCTCATTCATCGTTACGTAGTTCTAAGCTCTGTTCACACAAGTCTGTTCTTTCAGATCGTTTACGTGTTCCCGTGACGTCAATTTTAGCGTCACTATAAACCTAAAGATTAAAATATTAAGAAGTAAAATTGTGTCGTTTGGCGTGCAACTTATAATTTCGCCTTCATTTAAGAATACAGATTTATGAACACAACATCAAGTGATACAGAATGCAGCATGACGTACTGTATCAGATTTGTTTAAATTCCAAAGTTCATCGGCCATTTTATAGTATATTTCGATATATTTTCATATAAAAATGCCGAGACTTCAGTTCCATCACGCATGTCCGTATATAAAATGTTAACATTTGCTAATGGATTAGCTTCCTCCCTCCATCACCTCCCTCGTGGCTGGATCGAACACGCAATATTTCATGATCTGAAGCCAGTACAATAAAATTACTGTCGCAGACACTCGTCCGAGATAACAGCATCTCATTCAATCAATTCGTTTACTTTTCAAAATGAATAATACAATATATGTGTCAAATATGAATTGTTTATATAGGTATTATCCGTATTCCACAGATGTCTGCGAAATATTCCTTCAATATGCGTTTAAGTGCAAATTCAAATTCATCAAATATTTTTGTAGTTCATTTAGCTACACTGACAAAAACTCACATTATGTGGAGTCGAATGATGAATGAATAATGATCAAAGAATTGTAAATTTTATGGAAAAACGCGGTGATGGCTACATGAAGGTACTACCCCGGAATGTGCCGAAGACCAGATCAAAAACGCCGGTCGCCTGGTCGAAGTTTGAACCCAGAAGCTTCCGAACACCAAGCAGGTACCGGTAAAAGTTATTTTCCGTGCAGCCCTAAAAGACAGGCTCATTCATCGTTACGTAGTTCTAAGCTCTGTTCACACAAGTCTGTTCTTTCAGATCGTTTACGTGTTCCCGTGACGTCAATTTTAGCGTCACAGATATTGCTTCATTTGCTTAAAGGGCTGAAGCAGCATCTGGGAGCTTCTGATTTTATAAAATCCACAAACCAGGAAGTACTAGCCTATATAGGACTACTGAGAACATTATTTCTGTGCAGACGATTGCACCACGCTTTCACACAGAAATGAAGGCGATGTAAATATTTCAGTGGAACGTAGCAGTGTGAGACTTTATGGACCAAAGCAACGTACGCCTTATGTTTTTAATTTCATCTGCGCGTTGGTACAGGCTCAATTATAAAAGTAAATTAAAACGTTTAGGGACTGTGCCTAAAATTATGTAAAAGCAGGCTATATAAATAGTACTTTTAGAAAAAGTTTATTTTCTGCTCGCTTTGATGTGCACGAGCCGGATGGAAGATTTAAACTTGAAAAATAAAATTGTACGGAGGTAGAGCCTGGCAATATTTTATTCGAGAGGAGAGGCGCTGTGTCCCGCAAATGGCTCAGGGTTGTCTTACGCAATTCGTACACGTAAACGGTACGAAACGCACTACTGACCTTGTCGTCCCACTTACCCTGGCGGCGATGGACGTGGTGGGTTTCTCCAGCAGATCCCAGAGCCACTTCTGGTACTGCGCGCACTTCCCCTCGCCGAACTCCTCCTCCTCCCTCTGCCGGAGAGACTCGGCCTCTTTGCGCATCTCCTCGTGAACGTGCTCCTTCCTCTGGTGGTACTTGTGCTGGCAGCAAGACTCCAGATACAGCTCGTCCACGCCCCAGTACTCTAAGTCGTCACTAAACGCGAGCACACACATCTCGTCCACCAAATGCAACTTGCCGGTGCGGTAGAAGTTGAGAATGGAACTGAAGGACTTAGGGTGACGGTCGAAGAAGTACTCGTTGTCGATGAGGGAATAATCGTCGCAGAGTTCACTGATGGTTTCGTGGGTGTTGCAGTCTCGAAGTCGTCCCAGACGCGTATGCGGGAGTCTCTCCAGCGTCCGCCACAGCACTTCGTGTTTGACACCCCCCACATTTATACATACCCGACGATTCAACGCCTTGGAACGCATAATCATAAAGGGTTCCGGAGGAAGTGACGACATGGAGCGAGAATGGGCCCGATGTTGTTGCATGTTGAGCGGCAGCGGGGGTGGGGGTGGGG